TGTTTTTCTTTGTCGTTCTGTATACATGATAGTTTTCCAATGTGTTTAACTATTGCTCTTTCTTATTTGTTGCTATGATATCCATAGTGTTTTCTATAGTACCATATGCATGTCCTGTGTTTAATATGTGTTCTGAGTATCCTGTATTACTGTTACTGTGTCTTATGTCATGTATGTGTTCTTTATATCTGGTATTAAATTTCCTCCCAGTTTGTCCTATATATTCCATGGGGCAATCTAGGCACTTCATATTATATATGCCACTGTTATTATATTTATTTATTCGTGGTCTTGATTTTAATATATGCTGTAAATTGTTCTTAGTTCTAAATGTTATTTTTAATTTTGTTTCTCGAAATATTTTTGTTATATTTCTTGTTTCTTTTCCTATATATGTGAATGTTGCCCATTTCGTTTTTTGTCCTTCTGAATTCTCTGTAATGTTCTGCTTTTTTGCAATGTTTTGTTTTCTGTTATTTGTAGTTATGTGGGTAGGCTGAAAAGTAATGCACACATGCTTGTAGAGCACGAACAAAAACAAATAGCAAGATCGGACAAAAAGTACATTAAAGTACAATTCTTAAGTTTCAAAAGCATATATTTATTTTTCAACATAGTCACCGTTAAGGCTAACACATTTCCCCCAATGTGTAACAAGTTTTTTCATTCCGTCACTGAAAAATTCTTCCGACTTTTCTCGAATCCAGGACTTGACAGCTGCCTTCACCTCATCGTCCGAGGTGTAACGATTACCCTTGAGGTCTCTCTTCAGTAGAGGAAAAAAATAAAAATTGCAAGGCGCAAGATCGGGGGAATAAGGAGGGTGTGGAATCGGTTCAAACTTCAGGTTTCGCAGAGTCTCTTCAGTTGCGCGCGAGGTGTGTGGACGAGCGTTGTCATGTTGCAAGATTAGTGGCGCCAGGCTGACTCTAACATGACAAACTCGATGCTGGAGGTGTTTTAGAATCTGTATGTACTGAGAAGAATTTACCGTTTACCCCTCGTTCCAGAAAATCGGTCACAAACTCGGTGAGCATCCCAAAACACAGTCAAAAGAAGTTTTTTGGCGGATGGTTCTGTTTTGAACTTTTTCGCCTGAGGAGAAGATGGATGTCGATATTCAGTGCCGTCTTTCCTCTTCTGGGTCATAACAATGGACCCATGACTCGTCCCCCATCACAATATTCAAAAGAAAGTAGTCTCCTTCGTCACGGTAGCACTGCAAAAGTTGCTTGCAGCATTCCAATCGACGCTGTTTGTTCTCTTCTGTGAGACGGCGTGGTACCCATCATGCACAGATTTTACGGTATCCCAACTGTTCAATAATGAAGCCGACAAGTTCCTTGGATATTCCAATATGGTTTGCAATATGCTTTTGAGTGATTCGCCGGTCATTTTGAATCAAATCGTCGACGAGTTTGCGATGATTATCGTCTGTGGCAGTGATCGGACATCCGCTGCGTGTTTCATCAACAATTATGGCTTTTCCAGGCTCGCAACCACGAAATTTTATTACCCATCAATTTACAGTAGACCTATCAACAGCATCGTCACCATAAACAGCCTTTAAATGACGATGAATCTCAGTAGGAGTCACTTTTTCAGCAGTTAAAAATTCGATAACAGCACGCTGTTTAACTTGTGTTGATATAGCACTAGAACACGTCTCCATACTTCCACTTCTCGAAATATGCTGGATGAACACGACGACCTCAAACCTGCGCATGCGTATTGAGGGGAAATGTTACTTCCACATGCCACCTGGCGCGCTTCTGAAGGTCATTTCGTTCGTGCTCTACAAGCATGTGTGCATTACTTTTCAGCCTACCTACGTAGTTTTGTAATTATATCTGTGTTGTACTTATTATTTATATGTTGTTTATAGTATCTATCTCATTATCTTTTGCTATTCTGGTAATGGGGTAGTTATTTACTCGATCTGTAAGGTATTTAATACCAGATATCTTGTGTTCTTGTGGATGACATGAGTCACTTAGTATTATTATGTCCCCGTTGCTGTGTGTTTGCTGTGGACTGAGTAAGAGTAAGAGATGAGTAAGGTGATAAAAAGTGTATGCACTGTAAGACGGTTACCATAAATCATGGACATGAGTCAGTGCTAAAATATAACATTATAATTTTGCATGTTAAATTGAGGTGATTGAAGCTGAAATATGCTGTGGCAACACAGCATGGATATTCATGCCTACAGACTTCATCAAACAACCCCTTCATGAACACTGTGACAAATAATATTACCTGATAAAAATTTAGGTGCTGCGCAACATTTGCAGGAAACTTGATTAAAGCTGAATGCATTGTTGCATCACTGAATGGATATTCACATCTATGGACTCCTCCATGAAATATACTGATTAATACTGAGACAGAAATGCCCTTAACAGAATTTTGAGCAACACACAATTTTCACTGACAAACATGCTTTGAAGTTCTCCATATAATGTTGCAATAACACAATCAACTTTGTTTCTAACAAAATTATGTCGGTCCACATGTTATCAGGGGCAAATACACAGCACTTTTTTGTTCTGAAATTTCCTGTCTACAAATACAGAAGCACAAATTATGTAACTAAATATCTGCAATCATCCTACCATAACCAATCTGACATCACATAATCTTAGCAGCTGATAGCGAATGATTAAAGGCACTCAATGTCTTGTACCTCTACCATGTACCTCTTATCAGATGAACTTCATTAATAATTCATTCATTCATCAGTAATCTGTCAAGACGACAGGTCCACAGTCTCTTCCAAAACAGTTCCTCCACTTGATGCGATCTAGAGCTTTCTCCTTCAAATGAAAATATCCTCTTCTGTCCCCAAGGTCATCCAGCATCTTCTTCCTCATCTTCTGGTCACTTCTATCCACCCCTCTATCTTTCCTTCAATAACTTCTTTTAGAAGGCAGTTACCGCGTAAGATATGACCAATCCAATTAGCCTTCCGTTTTCTTATTTCGTGTAGGATATTCCTCTGCTCACTGACTCTAAATAACATTTCTTCATTTCACACATAATCGGTCCAACTGATCTTCTCCATCCTTCTCCAACATCACATTTTGAAGCTTTCCATGTGTTTCTGATCTACTGCCCTAAGTGTCAAAGTTTCAGCCCCATACAAAGCAATGCTCCAAATGTAGCATTTCACTAGTTTCTTTCTCAAATTTAAGTCCAATTTGCTGGTAAAAAGATTCTTCTTCTTGCTAAATGCAGCTTTTGCCATGGCAATCCTGGATTTAATTTCACAAGTACACCTTCCATCATCTGTTAACAAGCTACCCAAATATTTAAAACATTTCACATTCTCCACTTGTTTTTGGTCTATCTTTATTGTGACTGGGGTTGGTTGTCTCGAAATTTTCATTACTTTTGTTTTTTCCACATTCATTCCCATGCCATAGCACCTTCCAATTTCGATTAGTCTATCAATCATACCCTGTAGCACAGTTTCTTCCTTAGCCATTAACACAAGGTCATCTGCATATTTCACAGTCTGAATAATTTGCCCTCCTAATTTGAAGTCTCCGAGCCCATCCAGAGCTTCCTTGGTAAGGCATTCGCTGTAAAAGTTGAACAAAATTGGTGATAAACAGCATCCTTGTCGAACTCCTCTTCCAATCTTCACACTTCTTGTCTCCCCTCTGTCCAGTTGCACTCTAACTTTCTGATCCATGTACAATTTACTAATCAATCTTCTTTCCCGAAAATCGATACCTGTTTCCTTTAGGATCTGCATTAATTTGGTCCAATTTACACGGTCAAATGCCTTCTGCCAGTCTATAAAGCAAGCACACAGTTCTTCATCTATCTCCAAAGTTCGTTCTGCTTTAATTATAATCATCCCAATTGCATCCCTGGTTCATTTTCCTCTTCTAAATCCAAACTGATCCTCTCCCAGTATATCCTCTATTTTCCTTTCAATTCTTCTTCTAAGTATCTTTGCTGTATGTGCCATAAGGCTTATTGTGGGTTGGTCACTGCATTTTGTAGCTTTTCATTAAAAATATACTATGAAAATACAATAATGAAATATTTGGCTGCATCTTCTGCCAGGGTGCAGCCTGTTCTAGAGAAAATCTGATCATTGTGAGAACAAACTAACGCTGCAAATATTTAAGTAGAATAGAGTAAAAGCAACAATGTTTAAAAAGCAAAAGTTCATCAAGTCAATGTGTTAACAATCTGTAGAAGTAAAATAAAGAAGTGTCAAACTAATGCAGACCAGAAATTCAATTCCTGTACATCTGTACAAAGAGTTTTCTCCAATTATGCATCTTAAAACTCGGAAGTCTGGATGAAATAGCATTCTACTGGGTCAACAGAATGCTAGATGCATGTGCAGGAACAGAAGCTACTTTACATCTATTCCAAAAATCATCTAAATGAACTGTCTGAACCTATTTCAATCCAAAAAGTTTTCCAGGCAATCATTTCAATTAGTACATACTTCTGCATACCTTTTTAGGGTAAAATCACACCTATAAATGACACATGAAATTTATACACCTATATTATGACATACCTGAAGGGTATGTGCCACGCCCCCCCTCAAAAACAAAAAACAAAAGTAGGCATTAGGGATGATACCAAAGACAAATCTACATCAATAAATCCATACACAACTGTTTCAAGTAAAACTAGTAACAGGGATGAAGAATGCTACAGAAATTAATCATCCTGATAAAATGGCAAGAATACTTCTGATATTCAAAATCAGTATAAATGTTGCAGACTGTCCTGGACCATACCACGCCAAAACCATGGCAAGCATGCAGCAGGAACATGCATGAAGCAAGCACGCAAGCAAGTGAAGAAAGGGGCCGGGATCTAGGTAACAGGCTTGAGATTGCATTAATCCATAGGCTCACCTTCCAAATTAAAGGCTTATGAAGCGGTCCCCAGGTGGTAGCAGATTTGGGAAGGTTAGGGGGAGGTATACCGCGCCCACGGACATAAGGCAAGGTGGCAACACACACCTCGACTTCCTGGTCGGAGGGATTGGAGGTGGCAGTGCGACTACTAGCACTAGTGCGATGGTTGACTCGGGTGAGACCGGGGGCAGGCGCGGAGACCTGGCTGGACTTTCCGCGGCTGCTGCATGAGCTCCACCCCCGCTGGAGGAAATACTGCAACAGCCAGACACACTCTGTCGTGACCTGTCATGACCCTATGCTAGCCCCTCTGCTTGGCAATGGGTGCATAATATATCCAGCATACCCGACACTAGGAACCAAAGTCTATGTTATTTGGTTACATGATGAAGCTAAGCAATCATACGTCATCAAATTCAAACAGCATACCTGACTGTAGCTCATGCATCTTTTTCTTGGTACAACATGACGATCACATAATGGTAATATTATGTACAAAACTTACTGAAGGAAAGGTATTGAATGAACTAAGCCTTAGATTTTAAACACACAGATCCTACATTAGTACCATGTTACTGCAAGCTAGAGAATGGCTATTTTAACATGCATGACTACCACACAACATTTATTTGTCGACCAAGTAGGATGATGTGACTTTCCTCATGGTGTGTAGTCTGTTAAGTTGTAAGGAAGGCCATGCATCCAGTTAATCATCCTGAGCACGCTTACTGACTGGCAGAAGCCGGATGTGATGAAGGCCGTGAGAATGCACTTCCATTAAGATTACTTACATTCACAACTTGCTTACAAGGTATACAGTCCAACTAATGAGCAAATATATGAATGAAAATCAACCAACAAATGGAATGAATAGAAGTCATGAATAAATAGGGAAGGTAGTGCTTGAACCACTGGCTTGGCTAAGACTAATGTTAAGTGCTTCTACATACAAGCCCCACCACACCAGATAGGCAGGTTCGGACTGGGCTAGGCAACTGGACCAGCTGCAGCCCGACACGTGCCATGCCACCACACCTCAGCACCTGCACCTGCTGCAAAAGCCACGTCACGTGTTAGTCAAAGTGAGCATTAGGGTGAGGAACCCGACTTTATTCAAACCATCCAGTGCCCAACTGCCTTGCTTGCCGGAGACCAGAACGGCCGGATAATGGGATGCTCAGTTGCCAATTGGCTCTACTATTTGTGTGGAATTGCTACTACTGCATGTTGCTGTAGAAGGCACTAAGGATCATGATTGCCTTCAAAATGTTTTGAGAAGTACTTCAGTCAACAAGATCATTCAAAATATGCAATCATCCATCAGTGATGCCTTCCCCATCCGTCCGTTACATGGTGTGCATTTCTGGGGTGTTGCATGCTTCATCCCCACACTGCAGGGCAGCATGGTCCTAGTACCTTGTGAAACCGTGTGTACCGAGCTAGTGATGGCCAGAGCTGGTGCCGGTGCATGTGGCTGTCGGTGGTGGTGTGTGAGGGGAGGGCCCAGGGTCAAGCCTGGGGCTGCACAGCTGGTACCCACACTTGTCCCATGAGGTGAGAGAGCGGAGCTGTCTGTACTGTGGGAGTTGGGGGCAGAGGGATTCCCGTTGGAGCCCGCATACAAACTCGAACGCCTCTCTTTGCCGTTCGAGTGTTTCGAACATCTCAGGCATTTAGGTAACCATGAATGCCTTCGGATAAATTTCCTATACTCTTTGCGAACCTAAAAAGAAAAGAAAAAAGAAAATAACAGCAAACCCAAACTGAAAGTAAAATAATATATAAATGCAAAATAAACTTCAGATTCAAGAAATAAATTTTGAGCGGTTGTAAACAATAAATCAACATTCCCTGAGACAAATATCCGACAAACCAAGGACGGAATCGGGCTCTCCGGGTAAACTGGGAGAAAATCAAGTCCGGATTCCAATGGAAAGTGACATTCACTTGGTAAAGAACAGTCATCTCAGGGAAGTTATATTTTATAACTGTTTTATTTACCACCATATTAAAAATCTACAGTACAATGCAATGACTGTCATTTACAAAATACTATGGTTTGATTCTTTTTCAAATATGTTTAGCTATTTACATTATGTTTTCCTCTCCCATACATACAGTTACAAGAGAGTTGTTGTATGTTGCAGGCCTAGAAGTCTTCTTACCTTCTCATTCTGAACACAATGGAAAACAAAGATAAACAGTCCCTGCAAGCTATTCAACACAGTAAATATATAAGCCATAATGAGTGATTCTTCATTCAGATAAAGAAGACCAAATGTCCATGTGAGTCCAAGTAGGAACACAAGCACGATGGCTCCTCTCAACCAAGCCCTGCAAACAAAAGCATACACCATCCCATCAACATCTAATTAACATCTGAACTATCTTACAATTAATTGCAAATTGGCATGCAACATTCATTAACTCCATGGATTTAAGAATACATGTTGGATACACAATTTGCAATCATATATATTAAATTAAATGTTTCCACTGCGACAAGCTCATAGTAAATTTGACAACAGCTTCAATTCAATAAGAGTAAAAAGTTCCAAACAAGAAATTAAAAATAAATATACAAATGAGAATGCATACAAGTGAGAGTGTGAACTGAAATTCAGTAATGATGCTGATAACCCCAACAATTTCAAATTTCAACTGGCTGTACGCTAATTCTATATATTTATATAAATATCCTCATTCGTTTTTGTAACAGATTTTGCAGAATTGTGTTTGCAACCTTAATTACAATTTTTTGTCCACATCTGCAACAGAAGTTACCTAGTGCTGTTTGAAGTTTAATTTAGTGGATTAATGCAAAATTAAAATATACATCAATTACAAACCTCCAATGAGGAATTCAATAGTAATATTATAATGTTTACATTTATGTATGACCAATTACAACACAATCATAATTTCTACTTTTAGAGCCAGGCTCAACTTTCTTATAGTCTACTTTATTCAAATGTTCTCCAGAAATAGGGGAGACCTTCAAAATGTAAACCAGAATATCTTCAAGGCAATATTACAAATGCCAATTTACAGAAAAAAGATTAAATTATTCCATAATGCCTTAATGTGTTCCTCAACAATTCTGAGACTTGGCATTTCCAGTATTTCAAAAAAATATTTACTTTACACTATTTCAGGTACAGAAAAATAAGTCAAGAATTTTAGCCAATATATGAAAGGAAGACAATTCCTATACATCGTGATTTTGAAGATTCAAGATGTAAAATGCTTCTGAGGGCTAAGATTAATATTGTTAGTTATAACGAAACATTTACTGCCTGCAAGCATGCTACCGCTGTTTTTTACACCTGGTCATTCTCACCAGAATGCAGCGGAACTGACCGAGTACACTAACTGAAATACAATAAATCACCCTCCCTCCCTCAGTCCAGCTCCATCCAATGTTCTGATATGTCTTGCCATACTTCTCACAAGCAACTCAGAGGCCAGTTCTAAAATGTACTGTGCATATATTACAAATATTGTCACCCCCACCTCCATGATCTTCTTCTGGCAGAACTTTTTTATTTATGTCTAATAAACAATATACAGGTATGTTTATAACCTATCTCCATACCAACTTTCTTATACCTAGCTCCAATGATTCAATGGTAATCATCATCAAACTGAAAGCTAGACACAGATGTCATGCAGATGCCATTCTGCTTTATATTCTACAAAAAAATTACCTTACCTTAAGTTACTTATTTCTGGAGATCTACCATCCTACCTAACTTCAGATCCCTAGATTAAATGATACTATTGTTGCTCCCATCTCACAAGTTCATGCATCACTCATTCATTTCTTACTGCAGGAAATTAAGTAGTGGTGTGTTGGGGTGGCCTATAATGGCATAATGCCCATGCTAAATATCATGAAAATGGCTGATTCACAAGATGAAATCAAGGCATATATCTGTGATGTGCATACATACATGTATCATCTTTACTGTACTATAAATCGCAATATTTATGAACTTCTAGGATTGGAGATTTTCACAGTTATGAAGAGTTATATCTTCTGGGACATTATGCCATGTAGTCCACTAAAAATCAGATGTTTCTGAGGAACATGTATCCTCCATCGTAATGTTTGAAAACCCCAAGAAAGAAACCAGGGTGAAGTAGGTATCAACTTCTGCCTGCTTCATGAGGGTGTACTTCTTGGGTTGTTCTTCAAACCCAGAGAAGGAAGCAACATATTCCTCCAGAACATAGGTTAATTTTCAATGGATTACATGGCATTATATTCAAGAAGGCAGAAGTTTTCCTTACAAAATTTCTTTCAATTTACTCAGTACTTACTGAAAGATATCTAGAAATAAACTAAGGCATCCTACATGCTGGCCAATTCTAATCACAATTATAGTCCATCAGGTTACAGCAAGTATACTAAATATGAAATGTAATACAACTGTTTTTAATCATCCAGGAACTGTAAATCACTTGTATTAAACCAAAACATAACAAGCACCTCTAATAATTTACTTTATTCTGTCAAGCAAAGTCACTACCATTGGCACTAATTGTGTCATCAAAGGTAAACTTAAAGGAACTCTTCTCAGGTGACAAGCCCTGTCAATGTAGCGTTTGTGTCCCATGTACTGGAGACCACAATGTCTCCAATATCAGGGGTTTCTGTAAGAGTATTGTGTTTGCAAACCCTATCATGTTACACACAAAGTTCCCTTCTGTCAGGGCTTGATCACATGGAGAACAGTTGGCTAGCTGGTCATCTTAATTCATGATGCTTTTCACTGGTCCTTCCTCAAGAGGTTTCCTGAGTTCTCTCATATGTTTCATTATGTTCATGGCTGGGTAATACCAGCTTTGATGGAATCCTGTATCTCTGTCAAAGTTATTGATGTAGAGGAAAATATCAGTGGCCTCCTTAACTAAGTGATCCATGTAGCAAGTCATTCTTGCCAGTATTATGATGTCCTTGATGGCACGGAACTGAATGAACATCAAGGAAACTGCAATATTGGCAAGAATGACAGATGACATGGACTGTTTAGTTATAGAGATATGGCTACATACTGGAGGCAACATGAATTCAGATGCCTTAAAAACTGTGCCCCACTGGTCCTAGCTGGGACAGGACATTAGTGACCATTTGACTACACCCACACTTCTGGGCTGGGTCAGGTAAGAGCTTTATGTATATAGTGCATGAACAAAACACTCATCACAGCAACTCCTAATGATAAAGAGAGGGACATTCTTTTAAATAGGCACCAACTCCGTATGGATACAGCTGACAGCCTGAAAGGACTTCTTTGTATGCTGTCATCAGAAAAGCAAACTCTTTAAATAAATATCCTACAAATACTAAGAATATGCAAATTTTTAGTGAAAATAAAATTATACAAGAGTTTATGCAGTTTCATGAGTTGGGCTCAAGCAACGTATCAAGGGCTCAAGCAACGTATGCTACTGAAATTCCTTTTTTAATATGAAAATGGCATGGAAACTGTTAACAAGTATATCATTTGTGAAATGTGTGGGAAACGTGAACATACTCTATTATACTGAAACCCACTAGTTTCACGGTGCTAAAACAAGGCCCTATCAGGAGCCAGTCTGGTTGTTTTCACATCACAATAACTTAGTTCAAAGACACACACACTGTAACACTCATATATCCCCTATCTTACTTCTCCTAGTTACTAGAATTCAGTATGCATTTCTAGCTTCCAGCATCAGAAGTGAATGTGCACCTCAGTTATGCAATTTTCTTCACTCACTGCATTTTTAAGTTTACTTATGAGGAGATACATTGTATGTCATTCATCCTTACTTCCTAAAGAAAAGAATGCAGTCTCTCACTTGGACTACATTCATACAAATAATGAGGTAAGATTAATAAATATTCTAGGCCAATCTAAGGAAGAATGCTACTGAAATTCCTGTAGGTCCCCTATCTTCTACAAGTTACAGCACTGAATTTTCATTTTTGCAGCAGCTACAGAATCAATAATGTTCATGCATCGGGATCTTGATTTCATAAATAACAACAAAAATTAATGCAACACAGTAAAATACGAGCAATTAAAATTTATCATGATTCAAAGTAACTGAAGCTTCACCAGATGAATGATGTGATAAACTAATATAATATTCCAAATGCCAATTTGTATCATATGCACATTAAGTGATAGATATTAACATCTAGAATGCAAAAAAAAAATAGTAAGTCAATTGAAATCTTAAACCTTAAAAACAATTTACACTTCTGGTGCAGACAAAGACTGTGCTACAATCAACAAAAACAGATGTGAAATTCCTACTCAACATCAACTATTATATTCGTGCAGTACAAGTAGCAATCATGCCATGAAATGGTCTTCTCCTGTTAAGCATCTGTAATTTAATTATTACAGCTGTTCTGTTTACTACTGACTAGCTACAAACTAAGTGAAGAAGAAAAAAGTAATCTTACAGGTGTGACTGTAATTTGTTCTGAAGAGCATTTTCTTCCTTCCCACTATGCCATGCAAGAGAAGAGAAACAAAGTGTGTTATAAAAACCAGAACCCAGACCTCCATCACCGCTGGATGCGACTGCTTGCGACAGATCAAACAATTAGCATATTAAAACACAGGTCACACAGTTGCAATGGAGGATTAAATTAAGCATAAACTCATTAAAAAAAGACAACCACCAAGTTAAATTATCACTTCTTGGAAGTAACATGAAAACCAAAGAAGTGATACAGATAATGCTACTGCTGTTACAAGAAACAAAATCTAAAATTAAGATGAAAATCAAGAAAAAATTAACTGTTATTGCAACATATAAAAAATGCAATCAGTCAAAATTAAATCTCCATGGAACTAGCAAACCAATTCTAACCAATGTTTGCAATGTTAACAGAATGTCACTTTGAGTCACACTGCTATTGCTACAACCTCATGCCTGATTACAAAACAAATTAAAAAATTACAGGAAAAAAACACTTATTGCACTTGCAAATCTTAAAACAATTTGATGGGAAAACAGAAAATGTGCTACAAGTATACACAGTGCAAAGGGAGCACTCACCTAGCACTGGCAAGGCGCGAATGTTCCTTGCTTTTCATTGAAGCAGACGCATTGGCATGGCGACACATCATGTAAATTGCCATGCTCAAGAAGACTAGATTGGCCTGGAACATGAACAGACAATGATAATTTTTCACTACACTTACAATGCCTTCCTGTAGTGGGCAATTTCTGCCAATATGGCCATACATGCTGATGGCAAAATGTGCAGAAATATTCAATTATCCCATTTTCACTGCCATATTACATGACAAAAGATGTGTATATTGTTGGACAAATGTGCTTGTCAATAGCATTAAACAAAACTAACTGTTAGCATTTACTTATTATTAATTTAGAATGTTATATTACCACATCAATAACTTAAATACTGAGTAAATAAGCATTGTCACAAAGCAGAACTATCCACAAATTCCTTCTTAAATTTGTGTTCTTAATTATTTTAAAAAAATTTGGGAATACTGAATAGCTCATCACCATATAATGAACTTAATTATACAAGAACCAACAATCTAAAAATATGGTGTCATTTTATATATGTTATGCTCATTACATACTCTTCTAAACAGGCTGTATGTTCAAACTTATTTTATTTACTTTTAGCTAATTTTAGGCTCAAAATATTTAAGAAAAATTTAGCCTGAAAACCCTCATACAAAATTTATGTTCATATCTTCCAAGGGAATCAAAATTACTTTATTTCCCAAGATTAGTTCACCAGGATAATCTACATCCAGCTGTTTCTAAGGTGAATATTCTCACATTTCAATATCCAAATTTAGGCGATGATGCAGCTTGTTCTAGGAGCAAGAAAACTGCAAAAATCTCAACTGAAGTATTTTGTGCTGTTCTGGATTCATATAATTTATTGCTGAAGTGTGCATAGTATTGTAAGAGTAGAGCACACAGAAAATCACTTTTGTCTGATTACTAAATGTGTAATGAGCCTAAAACAATTATTAAATACATGTCTTAAATACTAGATTCATAGGGCTAATGCACATGGAAATAAGAATTCTTAAACTTGATAAAAACCGTATCTTCCATCAGATGGGAACAGTGTTTCTTGTTTTATGGTGGCTCAGGCAAAATTCAACATGAGAGCTTAATTTTGAATCAACTGAAATTTCAACTATTTATCTATATTGTGGCTTGAGCAGAATTCAACATAAGGGGGCTTAATTTTATAGTTAATTGAAATACCAGTTATTTATGCCAAGGCTTAAGTGCCAAGCTAATGATTTACAGTTCTATTAAGTCTCAGTGAGGAAAGGAAAAAGACAACTAATTGGATATGAATTGCTTCCAATCATGCAGCCAAATTCTGGGGACCAAACATGAATTATATGAAGTTCTGCAAGGAAACATTATGGGCAGGACTGTATTTAGGAAAACACTAAATAGTCTATGGACACATGACATCATAAAATAATTAACAACAAATTGTGGTAAAACATTAACAAATCAAAGCCAATCACCACAGTGGGAAGAAAACATGTTTAAAAATTGATATGTATTTTAACATCATGTTCATATTTCAAACGTGCTTGTTTCACTTGAGTATAAATTATTGTGCAGTAAATTAAGTATAAACTTACAAGTATCACAGCAATGACTGGTCCCACAAAACTAAATATGAAGAAGTTATCTGCTCGCAACCAGCAATATCGATCTGTACCATAGCTGAATGGATCAACAACACAGGAGACTGCTACAATAATAAGTGGTGCACCATAGGCGAAGATGTAATACCAACGAATTCTTGACTTCTCTGCTTCGAAGACTTCAATCAGCATTACATAAAGCTGGAAGCCTGTGACAATCATTTATCATTAGCAATATTACATAACGTGATAATACATTTTGACAGTAAGATTACCATGTACAATGTTTCTCTTTCAAGGTTAAGTCCTTATATAGATGAAATTATTGGGGATCATCAGTGTGGGTTTCGATGCAACAGATCAACTACAGATCAGATCTTTTGCATTTGTCAGATATTGGAGAAAAAATGGGAGTACGATGAGATGGTATATCAGCTATTCATAGACTTCAAGAAAGCCTATGATTCAGTTAGGAGAGAAGTATTGTACAATATTCTAATAGAGTTTGGGATACCCATGAAACTAGTTAGGTTGATTAAAATGGGTTTAAACGAAACTTATAGTAAACTCTGTGTAGGTAAACATTTGTCTGATAAATTTCCTATCCAGAATGGTCTAAAACAAGGAGATGCTTTATCACCACTCCTTTTCAACTTTGCTTTAGAATATGCCATTAGGAAGGTCCAGGGAAACCAGGTGGGACTGAAATTAAGCGGGACACATCAGCTGTTGGCCTATGCCGATGATGTGAAGCTACTGGGTGATGATGTAGATACCATAAAGAAAAATGCACAAACTTTAATTGATGCAAGTAAAGAGGTTGGTCTAGAAGTAAACACAGAGAAAACTAAGTATATGTTACTGTCTCATCACCAAAATGCAGGGCAAAATCATGACATAAATATAGGAAACATGCATTTTGAAAATGTGGCACAGATTAGATATTTGGGAACAATTATAACAGATCAAAACCTGATTCAGGAGGAAATTAAGAGGAGATTGAACTAGGGTAATGCTTGCTACCATTCAGACCAGAACCTTTTGTCTTCCTGTCTGCTGTCCAAAAACATAAAAATT